ACAGATCTTGGGTAGATTTTCTAAAGAATGGACTCAAGGGATGATTGAAATTGCATTTGATGTGTCACCGCCGCCAACCAATAGGCCACTGATTTGTATTTGGGGTGTATTGGTTAAATTTCAAACATATAGAAACTTAACTGTAGTTTTTAAGGGGTGTATTTGCTAAATTTTAAACTTTTTGATACCAGGTTTGACCAGCCAATCAAACTGGGACCCGAAAACTTTGTTGATTATTAAAACACTGTTATATAGAACTCTCCTGCATATGGAACAGTAACCACTTCAAAATTCATTGTATAGATATATCTTCGCTTCAAACACTAGATCCAGTTAATTTCATTGTATCCCACTTCAGAATTTTAAGCAATGACTACAAAAATAGGCGGGATTGGATTAGAAAGTTGTAACATTTACTTAATAATTACAACTCAAGCTCATTCCTGCCATAATGAATGTTAATTATGGTACAAAAGCCACTCAGCAAATTTTAGCAGCATGATGAATCCCCCCACCTATTTGATAACACATCCTCAATCCAACAACTTCTTCCTAGGGCTGAGCTGGGCAGCTAAACAAATAATGTGCTTCACTTGTGAAAGAACAAACCTCTTTTCTTTCCTTTCCTCCTTTCAACAGCCTGCAACAGTATAGCCAACCACTATAAAAATACTTTTCAAATGACAACATTTAAAATCTAAATATGATGCTAAGAAAGAGGGCGACGTTGACTCAAAAGAAGACTTGTTAAGTCTAAACTTCTGGTCCAGGTCACCACTTTAAAGGTTCCCTAATTATATGTTCAAAACATGACGTACTACAAAAGTCCAAAATTACACTCCAGGTAAGGAGATACATGTTTCTATCTATAAAACATGAAGCCATAAATATGCATGTAAAGTGTTATCAATCAACGGTCACAACTGTGAACACTCAAAAACAGAGTCACTTGGAACACAAGATGCCAAACAAACAAAGAAAAGATTCAAAATTGGCACTTCTACAAACAGACAAAAGGACATAATTTGAGAGAAACAATTTTATCTATTATTGGATTCCAATAATATACATAAACAGAAGTTAACAAGTCTCATGTCCTTTTTAAGCAAAGAGGAAAAAAAAAAAGCTTTAGAAGTGAAAGATCTTACCCTCCTGATAAACAATCTCAACGTAAGCACAATTGTATCCCTTGAACTGCACGAAAACAGAAATACCAAGTTACAAAGTGAAGGGTCCAAAACAAAAATCTATAAAGCACTAGCCAGTTGCTGACTTTGGTTAAACACTACAGAAAGCTTTGACAAGCCACCAGATCCTCAGTACAGTTATGGCTATTCTGTGAGTCCACTTGATGGTAGAAATCTAAAAAATTTTGAAAACTATATGGTCGAGGATGTATGATAAAAGATAGATCTTGGCATTCCCTTGTCTACCACAAAGTAGACTGTATATTTTATCTAAATCAATTTGAACACACAAAGGTTAGGCTCCACTCTCCCACTCTCAAACACTGGGTCATATTGTGTAAGCTTGAACTTTTCTTCCTTGAGAAAAGTCTCCAAGATTGTAATCATCAGTTTGAACAGGCAAGAGTTAGGCTCCACTCTCCCACTCTTTTTGTGGAATTACAGGGAGAACTTGATACTTACCAACTAACATCTGTTGAGCTGCTATCTGCTCGTAAGACTTGCCCATCATTACCAGAACCAGTTATCACAAATTCTACAGCACTTTGCATAGAAATTGCTACCTACAAGGAGTAAAAAAAGCTTAGTAGAAACCTAAGTATGCCATTATCATGAATTTACAAAGTTAGCAAAAAAAAATTGATTTTCCTAAGTCTAGGAAATTGATTTTATCAGAACCAGCACATGCACATGCATACATAAGGATGATCAGTGACTGCAGATCACTTAGTCCACTAATTTTTAATTTATTATTTTTATTTAAATAAGAAGCAGAACATACTATAAACATTTGTACATCTAGAAGAAAAGGTGAACCACAGGATCATCCCTGTGAAAAAAGTACCATACAACTTATTTAAGAAAAAAGAAAAAAAAAAAAAAAATCAATTGACAGCTGTCTCTCCATTTCCTCAAGGAAAAAGAGTTGAGTATATCATTAAATTCACTTAGAAACTGACGCCCAATGGGATGTTAAAAAATGTGTTTTATCCCACCAAAAATCATTATTCTTTTGTATCTTCAAAAACTCTAATATTTCTTTCCACCCATATGACCCAAAGCATTTATGAAACCCCATAGTTGCACAACACAGAAGCTTTCCTGCTTCCCCAAAAGCACAGGATTTTAAACAAGCAGAGAAGCAAAGAAACTGGATATAGTAAAGATGAATTAATGATACTAAAAAGTTTATTCCATAACTTCAGTGCAATTGGGAAAAATGGATGAGATTATTGGTTCTTTCCTGCCTCCCCAAAAAGAAAGATTCATCAATTTAAATTACGATCAAATATTTAGATTTCAATATTTCTCAATTATTAAAATATCTACTAAATAATACAAATCGAATTCATTTAGAAAATACTTGCAGAAATAAAATTTCAATAAAAATTTAATATGCCTACTTGATCAAAGCCTTCTAAGCTAGACACGGAGTTTCAAAACATTAAATCAAATGTTAATTTATTGACATTTATTTTGCTTCATAAGAAACAAAGGAATCTTGTGTTTATAGTATAATAAACATATGTAACCAATGCATGGATGTATCCATCCACATATGTATTTTCTATCATAACATTTGTCGCACGATATTAGTATTCCATATGTGTTATGTCATTAGTTCAGAATTTTGCTCTTAAGATGGAAAAATTGAATAGTATGAGACTTTTGCTCTTAATATAGAGCATCATATAAGATTTGAGTACAAAGTCTTACATTTGTGGTTAGTGAGAACTTTTCAGTGATTACAGTACCACTGGGTCCACTGCATTTGATACTGTAACCCTCTCTCTTAATGGCCAAAGTAGCCGGTTCCCATATATCAAGATATCCAGTCTGTAACAACAAAAAGCATATAAAAACCATTAGCCATGCCTCATAGATGAAGACAAAAGAAAAGAAATTAAGACTCTTTCTGGTAAGAGCTTGAAAGCAAAAAAGAAATACAGAAAAATAAAATGAGTTTTTCCTATTTTTATATGAGTCATACCGACAAGGAAACTTTATATGACACATGACCACTATAAAGAGTCTTCTCTATGTGGTTCTGCATATCAGGATCTGTGAACATAAAAGGGAAAAAAATTACATACAAGGGCAAAAAAGAAACAAAAACTTAATCCAGTCAACAGAGAGAATATTTAAAAAAAAAAAAATGCAAAATAGGGTAAGTGTCGAATTTTCCATTTTAGGAAATATAGAGAGATACAACCTGCCTCTAATTTAATGAATTTTTTGTCCAACACCAATGCTAGGATTTGGTTTCTCATGGATTGATGCAAACTCAACTAATGAAGAAATTTAAAATGCAAATGCTATCAACAATTTTATTCACAAATAGTTTATGAATAAGAATTACAATTAGGAAACTTGAACCGAGATCAACAATGACCACAAATCTTGGGGCTGTTGGGGTGGAGGAGAAAAGAGTTGGTTAATATACATAATGACTTAGCTCCTATAGAGATAATGGAAGTATATGATATATATTTAACATTCTTTGCTCATTAAAAAAAGTAATAAATAATAAAAATTACAACTGATGTATAAGCAGTACTTTTCTATTGACTCTGCTTTTGTAGTTTCTGTAACGAATTTGAAAACGCCTCAATTTTCAATCATAAGCATGGAAACAAAGAAAAACATTACACTCGAGACAGGTCGAAATGACAGAATAATGACTTACCACATGTGATTTTTCTGTGCTCATTAGCAAAGACCTTTACAAGCTCTCCCTAGAATCACAAGAAGGCAAGTTATTTAAAAACCAGGCAACAAACTGTAACCTCAACATGAATCACTTAAAAGAAGTAAATAGTTTTATGCACTCTATTTTAGCTACACAGACAAACTTGGTTCAAGTTTATGGGAGCAACCTTCATATCATAGGCTAGATAGGATGTTGTGACCATCAATACCAATCCAAACTCAAAACAGACAAAAACTAAATGGTCAAGTTACAATGACCAGAAGCATGCACACAACATGCTAATCGATTGCTAAGTATAATGAATTAATCATATTGCAGCGAAAATTTTATACCTTGCGCTTCCTCTCATCAAGAGGCTGCACTTCAATAGCAAGATATGAATCAACATCATCAGCTGTAACAAGATAGTTTGGCTGCTTTGCCCCTGTAACCAGAAACTGCTTAAGATCCAGATTCTGATGTAAGGCAGGAACTACCACATGAATAGACAATATTAAAGAGAACAAGGAAAACTGTACCTTCGATATAATTAACAGATCCATCTTCCAAATGGCGCACCCACTGCCAATGTAATAAATGGTGCAAGATCAAGCATTATAAACTTTTACATACATCCAATCAAAAAATAACTTCATAAAGGCATTTCTGTCCAGGAAGTGTACATAGCCAAAAGCACCAATCGACAAGAAACATAAGGTGAAAGAATCAAGCAACAGACCTCAAAATTACAACTGGTTGTTCCATTAATAGAGTATCCACATGCCTGGAGTTGTCGTCCAGGAAAAGCTTCGCCTGAAATTTGGAGGGCCTCTATAGCTGGCAATGGATCATCATCTGCTGCTGCATATCACAATTTTTAAAATTTTAGATATCAAATATTGGTGCTTATACAACAACTAAGCTTTTAAGTACAAAAGGTCTTTACCCTCAGAAAAAGATGAAGCAGGTTCTTCAAGAACAGGTGGTAGGTAATGATAAGCAGAATTAGGATCATCAACCATTGTCGTGTAAGGAGAGTTTCCTGCAGTCCAATTGGATGGTTGATCTCTCTCATTCTGGTGTTCCTCTCCATCCTGATCATCCAACTCATTATTGCTGACAGGGTCCTGAAATTTAACTTGTTTATTGGCAGTTTCTTCACCATATTGTGCGACACGTGAGAGAGGTGGAACATGTGCAACACGTGCATCAACCTGAGTGCTGGTAAACGTCATACGTATATCTTGGGAAGCAGAGATCCTGATATTAAAAAAAGTCACTTCGTGAGGACAGAAATTTTAAGCATACTACTGATAACGAGCAATTCTTAAATGCCATTAATAATCTGTTCGTAACACTGTAGTTATTCATTGGAGATAAATTTATATAAGACAAGTCAAACAAAAGGAAACTTTAGCTTATTAAAGAAACAGAAAAGCAAATATCACCCCAAAAAAAAGGAACCATGCAAGACATAATTCAACTTGCAGCATTAAAAAATCAACTTTACAGAGTGGTAGAACACCACAGAGCTTAAGCTCTGAGCAATCTGTGCTCAAAAGCAGAAGCCAAGCTAACAGAATGTTCAACCTCCAAAATTTTGCTCACAATTTTGAAATACAAATTTAAAGAATTGAAACAATCAACCACAAGGTTCACAGAAAACGATTGACTTAAGGCACAGCAAAATCAATGGGCTATATATATACAGTAAGATTCTCTAGTCCAAGCATCCGGAATTAACTAAAATCTGGACAAGAGAACCGACCATCCAAGGTCTACAAGCAGCCTTAGCTGTCTAAATTGCAGTGAACCTAAACATTTCAGCTCTGGGTATCAAACTACCGATTCTCCCTCAATATTTTTCTCACTCTTCTTCCATTCTTCCAATATTGTGCCAATGAGATTAAGCTAGCCTGTATCAAGGCTGTTCTCTATAACAATCACGTTCTTTTTAACTGAGAACAGTTCTCTGGCAAAAATCAATTCAACCTCATTCTGGCTTGAAGATGTTTCTATTGTCACGTAATTGTTTAAATGAATTTTTTCCCATCTAAATCTGGCAATTTATATAATTAAACCTTCAGGGTCCCTTCTTCTAGTGCCCAAGAAGGAACCACTACAAAGAACTTAAGAAAAGTTAAGAAATTAAGTTTTCAAAGAAGAAATCTAGCTATCTCCTAGAAATTGGCCACTTTTTCCTTCAAAGTTTAGGGGGAATCTCCCAACACACAAGAAAGGCACAAAAGCATCTACCTGAAAAAATATCCATAATAACAAAATGCATGAAGTGACAGAAAGCAGAATCTCAAGCATAGAATACACAAGATCAGGTGAAACAAAAGCTTCAATAAGTGAAATGACCAAAAACAGTTCTAATGTTTCTTAAACAGAGAATGAACTAAAAGCTGTCCTTTATAATAAATGTATAGTTAGCTTATCCTCTGAAATTCTAGCACCTTCATTTTGATACTGTGAATAAGACCAAATTGATCTTCTTCCTTTTTTTTTTTAGCCACATAAGGGAAGAATATACTCCAGGAATAGAAACTGCAACTGAAAAGGTCTAGCGGTTACTTTGCAGGCAAACTAGAAAGTGTCATTTCCTGTTACCATATGGAAGTAGATACCAGTATGAAAGGTTCAGCAATCCTCGAGTTAACATGCATCTCTGGACAACCAATCATTCATTCATGACCAATCAACATAGAATCCAATGAAAACAGAACCCACCAACAAATGCAGATGGTTGTAATTTGTACATTCAGTTCACAGTAGCAGTCTCCTTTTGACCAGCTCACCTGCTTGCAAGAGGTGAATACCTCTCATCATCCACAGTTTTTCCAATGATACCACCCAAACCACCCTGATTCTGACCCATCAAATCCCAATCTGCAGCTGCTGGAGCATCAGCAGTAGTTGGTACCATTCCCTGCGAATATGTTGGCTGTGGAACCAATTCAAGTCCATTTTTGTTCTGACAGAGAAAGATAGGAATTAAAGAAAATCATTATGTCACAGAAGCAAGTAACTCGAAGAAGAATTATGAGCATACTGCAGTAACCAATGCTGCACCAGTGGAATGAGATGGCGACTGTGGAGCAACATTGGACTGAGTCAAATCCGTACGCCAAGGTGCTAATTGATACTGTGACTCCTTAAGCTTTGACTGGGACCAGGGAAAGAACATAATCAACACAATCCATTCATGGTGGAAACAAAAAGTAATGCTGCATGATATATCACACTATCATGACCCAGACCACCAAGATCAAAACCAGACATGACAAGTTATTGACAACCTCATATCTGCATACATACCTCAGTAAGAAGGAGCTTTTCCTGTAAATGTTTAAACAGAACCTGCAAAAGAAGAAAGTCCCAAACAATTAAATATCATGCATGTGCATAATTGGAAAGAAGAAGCTTTAGATATGCTACAGATCATCTAATGCATGGCCCACTTCACACATATGGCTATCAAACTATGACAAATTTTCACCAATTGAATCATATATGCTGCTAGTGCCATTACAGAATGAACTTTGAACAGAACTTCTAATAATTACCAACAGGCATCTGGACTTTCCTTCAGGTGGAAACAAAAAAAAGAAAGAAAGAAAGAGCAAGAACACCTCACAAATGCTTTCATAATTCTGAAACAATATTATCCACAACTAACCATTAATTACCTCATGCATCTGGTCTTTCCTTTAGGTGGAACAGAAAAAAGAAAAAGAAAAAAAACCTCACAAATGCTTTAATAATTCTGAATCAATATAATCCACAACTAACCATTGTCCACCAANAAATATCATGCATGTGCATAATTGGAAAGAAGAAGCTTTAGATATGCTACAGCTCATCTAATGCATGGCCCACTTCACACATATGGCTATCAAACTATGACAAATTTTCACCAATTGAATCATATATGCTGCTAGTGCCATTACAGAATGAACTTTGAACAGAACTTCTAATAATTACCAACAGGCATCTGGACTTTCCTTCAGGTGGAAACAAAAAAAAGAAAGAAAGAAAGAGCAAGAACACCTCACAAATGCTTTCATAATTCTGAAACAATATTATCCACAACTAACCATTAATTACCTCATGCATCTGGTCTTTCCTTTAGGTGGAACAGAAAAAAGAAAAAGAAAAAAAACCTCACAAATGCTTTAATAATTCTGAATCAATATAATCCACAACTAACCATTGTCCACCAATACAAGATTATTGCTAACGAGGAAAAAAATAAGCCTACGAAGTACAAGTGATTTGGGATACCGTACTCTGATGCTAGAACATATAAAATAGATAGATCAAATATATAGAGTCAATTTCTTCTATCTGGTAATTACATAATATCTTCCTTAACAAAATGCTAGAGGGTGACAGCATTAGTGCTCCACTATAAAAACTTAAAACCCTTTAAGACTGACCTTGACATTGCTAACAATGGATTGGGCATCAAGGGCAGGCGGCTGCAGAGAATACTCTGCAAGGAGAGGCAGCAAAGACTGGACAAAAGTTGATCTCTCTTGTTGTGCAGCCTGAACAAACAAAATAGTGAACCTTAATATTCAATTAAGCTCTACTGTACATAAAAACTTTCAAAGAAAGTAAATTAAGAATTTCCAACATGATATTTTTAATAAGTACCCCTAAGCTTTATTAACATTACACAAGATAAATTAATTGATTTTACCATCTTTAAAAATGATTGTCTTGCAAAACTTGAAAAATAGAGTCTATCTGCCTGAATTAATTTTTAAATTTTCACCTACAACCAGTGACGGACCTACACAATTACCTGAGTGGGGGCAACTATGTATAATATTAAAAAATTAAAACATAAATATTAATTATTACTTAAAATTTTTCTCTTATTAACAAAATCCCTAATGCATTTTTAATTTAAAAAAATAATATTTCATAATTTCATTATGGTATTATTTTCAGGTTTTTTATTATGATTTAATAATAGTTTGAATAGTACAATTATTATAAGTTACAAATGCATATGCTAAGATTCCATTTTTTTTTTAATTTTTTTTTTCCAATCTTAAAGCATAAATGTATAAAACAAGAAAACAAAAAGAGAGATATAATATCTACGTTTTTTAACTGATATTTATTGGCAAATTTTGCTTGGATTAAAGCTATTTTATAGAAAAAAACTTTCATATTATGATGGTTTGTGGGGTTCAAAGTAGGGTATACTGAGTTATAAAAAATGTTTTTATATATGTAGGCTTTCAAAGGCCACGTTGGGCTCAGTGGGGTCAGCAATCCCCACTGGCACTAATGTGGGTCCGTCCCTGCCTACAACAGAGTTTTAGAGCAAGTGAATACAAGAAGAGACATGAATTCATTTAAATTAAAGCAAAGGAAGCTAATTTAACTAAATTGAACACAGACCAATTTCTAGCAATATTTATGGAAAACAATTAACACATTCAAGGCATGATTAAGTCAAAGTTCTCTAGCAAAATTGCTATTTGCAAACAAATGAAATCAATCAGCATGATATACAAGGGATAAAAAACTAAATCAGAGAGAACACACACCTGTAGTTGATACGTGAGATGTATATTTTCCTCGATAATGTCTTGCCTATAAGAAAGAGCTTTTGATGCAGCATCAACAAGGTCTTGCTGCTGCTGATCAAAGGCCTGATAGCAAGAGACACAGAAGCCTAATAACTATCCTGGACAAGAGTGATAAACAGAGAGAGAGAGAGAAGAAAGAGAAGGCTGAATGAGGGCATTGTTCATGCATTAACAGTGACTGGAAAAAGGGCCCGCTTACCAGACGCATATAAGCTATGCGCTTCTCCAAAACATATTTTTCATTGCGAATTTGTGCTTCCTATCAACATATATTTGTTAGCCATGTCAAATAGAATAATACATTGAACATAGAGTACAAAAAATAGAAGCGAAGATACGTTGATCCAGGCAGAATACATATACACATTTTACCTTGATAGAAAATTCAGCAAGATGTCTCCGTAACTGCATAATCTCTTCTTCTTGCTCCCGAACCTTGAGAACAATGTCCTAGACGGATATATTATTTTGTCAATAGAAGTTAAAGCTTAAAAAGGAAAAAACTCATCTTCTATAACCATATGAAAATACCTGCTTCCAAAGACTGCTAGAATTATTTACTTCAGCCATTGGCATCAGCCCCTGTCCAGACAAATTAAATCGTTGATCGTATTCTCCATCTATTTGGTACCTAATAGAAACATAAAACGTTGCTAAAACTCTACATATCATTCAATAACATTGCTTCAGAAGATTATAAGACTCATTTTGATATAAGATACCCGGTAGGAGAAAAGGATGCTGTAGAAGGTGAAGATAACTGAGAGGGACCCACAATATCTGAATGTACTTGTCTACCAGAATGAACTTTTAGTGATCCATTGTTCTTGTGGCTGACAGATTTGCTTTCTGAATGGCTTTGCAACGCAGCACCATCAACATTAGGTTTCAGATCATGATGAAGAACCAGAATACCCAATGGATCAACTGCAGGAGTGTTGGAAATGCTTTTAATTCTATCTACTTGGCTACTTCCTGAGGGAACTGATTGGCGAAATTCATAGGGTCCATGAAGATTCTCTTTCCACGGATCACCATGAGATCTTTGAGCCACTGTTTCCTCTAATTTCTGTGAAAATATGATATGGATATGTCAATAAAACAGATTGAAACATGTAAGGCAAAAAGCAAATAATGCAGCCTATAACCAATTAGTAGATGAAAACAGTTAGTTTCTATCTGATCATAAGCAGTGACCAATGGAAAACTCACATATTTTTCAAGTTCCTGAATTTTCCTGTGAAGTTCAGTCCTCAATTGGGTGTTCTCTTCTACCTGTGAAGTATATACCGACATGTTATAATCTTTCAAATCCTTCTTTTTGAGAATAAATTAACATTTTACCGAAAGAACTCGATGGATCATAAAAATGAATCTTTGCAGACATAGTTTATACAACTAGAATTAATTGCAAGATTATAAAACATTTTCAATGAAAATTTTGAGAAAATAAAGAAAGTACCTGTTGTTTGATGGTAGCCTCAGCATCTTCCACGGCTTTCATAACCTGAAATAAACTGTCGTTGTTGTTGTTGTGGTGGTGGTTACTGGTATTATTATTAGGATCATTGAGTGCTAATCCCGACAACTTATCAACAAAATTTCCACCATGGCCGTTCTCCATCTCTTACAAATAAATTGAATTGAATTCAAAATTGAATTTGATTAAACATATAAAATAAAAGAAGCATTCTCGTAAAGGTTGGTAGCTATAGAATTGAAATGAAAAGAATAATGGGGTTTTTGGAAATGAAACCCTAAAAAAGAGGAAGAGATGAGATCACAAAGTCTATCTAATCATTTGACTGAGTGTGCGTGTAAACTAAGACACAAAAGTAATTATGGGAGACATAGAGAAAGAAGCCACTTTCGTTTTCTTTACTTTCTCCTGCTCAAACCAAATCCTCAACCCGTCCTCCACTCCTCCTCTTTGTCTGCTGCGCCTCTCCTCTCTATCTCTCTCCGTAATTTTTCTGTCAATTTCGCTTTTTTTTTTTAATAATTATTTTTGTCGTTTTATTACTACATAAAAATAAATAAATATGACGTTTTACTCTCTAGTTTGAATTTGGAAGCAATTTTATTATATTTTCTCTGTTTAGTTAATAATGTTGAAAAAAGATAAGCTTAAAGACCATAGATTTTTTACATGTTGACTTAAGACTTACACTCACCATTTCTGTTTTTGAAAACACATAATATTCTTTTTTTTTTTTATCTTTTTCTTGACAACCAATAATAACATGGAATCTATCTGGTTAATATCATATTTGTCCATATATGTATGTATATAACACTTTTACACCCTCCAAAGTCATGGTTACGGTTAAAAAAAGAAAGTAGTATTAGAGAAACAAAAATCCGAGTTTTACACAAGAATTAGGGAAACACCCATTGAAGAATGTCACTTAATAATACAGTATTCTCTTGGCTCTCACCGGCCTTCCAAACCATAAAACCTGGAGGAAAATAATCAGCATCGCTCCAACGTTTTAGTGAAGTAATTGAGAATGGACCTTGTATTTCACCACAGGGATCAACATAATGCCATTCCAGTCGTTCTAATCCTGTATCAGAAATCTCATTTCCAACAACACTCCGATCATCATCTTCATCACAATCATTGTCACTCAAGTCAATAACCTGCTTCACCATCATCCTCTCACCAATCTTATTTTCATCTATTTTCACCGTCTCTATTGATAGATTTTGCTGTTTTTGAAGTGAAACGTCAAGCTGGTTTTCTGCAACAAATTCAGATTCCAATTAACTGTAGTACTATTGACATTATATTAGTATTGTATATTAAAAAGGACATTCAAAACACCAAGCAATGAATGCAAAAGAAAAGAAGAAATCATTTTGATCACAGAAAGAACAAAAGCAAGGGGAGTTCAACAAGTTTTATAAGATCAAAGCACATTTTTAAGCAATTTGATGATCTCCCTCCCCTTCATCTTCTTCGATCAGATCCAAAATGAGCTTTAAATTACGAAAATGATGACCACTTACCTTTTTTTGTCCGCTGATTTGACTCCGGCACAGCAACTTGTATCTCTGTAGAAAAACCAATCAACATATATAAGTACAAGCAAAACGATCTCTGGAAAGAAAGCTGATGTTTTACAGCTGTGACACTTCTATGAATTATTATCTAGAATCAATTGAGTATATTACACCACCAATTTCATGAATTTCTCTCGGACCATGGAAATCAACCACATTACTCACTTGTTGTAGTACACCATATTACCAACTTTTTGGCTATGGTAAGTGGAACCATTTAATGCTATAAAAAACAAGAACAAAGAACATTACGAAATCAAACATTTGCGCCTCCAACTTTCAGTCAGGTGTAATACTTCGTATTTAATCAGCAAAATGATGACACTAAGACCTAATGAACATGCATCAACAGTGGCATAACCAGCAGGCCATATTCACCATCCCAAAGAACTCCCAGCCCATAAGCCATTAAAGTGAGAGCACTAAAAGAGCTAGGGCAGACCAAAGGAAAAATAGATCAAGCAGGCACCATAAATGCATGAACTAACTCATTAACCAAATAAACAGCACCATATATGCATCAAGTAGCACATGAAAACATAAACATCGACACAGACATGGACAGGCATGTATGAGTATATACACATACATAGATTAAGAAACTTCAACTTTGGAAGGCATCCTCATGGAAAGAAATGAAATCATGTTAAAGACACACCTGCAGGCTCTGTACCAAGAGATGTCAAAGATGTAAAAGTGCCATTTGCTGCAATCTCACCAATAGGAACATCTGAAGCTCCCCTGACAAGGGGTACTAGAGAATCATCATTTCCTTGTTTCATACTATCTGGGTAATCCTGTGCGCTAACTACCTGTTCTATTTCATCTGCAATAACTTCTGGAACTTCATGCAAAAGCCGTGACTGTTCAGCAGGAGTCTGAAGCAGCTGTCTTCTCTCCAGGTACTCAAATAGTGTAAAGGCTCACAAGTTAAGGATTCAGTTACCAAAAGCAAGGTAGTTCAAGTTCCCCTTGGGTTTAATCTTACCATCTTTCCATTATTAAAAGCTAAAGTTTGTATCATAGTTTGTTCTTTCTGAGATAAAAGCACATCACTCATCATAATTGTAACAAATACAAGCAGTGCACATAATTTATGGACATTAATAAAGGATATTCTCTGCGCCATCCCTTTTCATTGGCTCGATCAATGAGTTTTTGCAGCAAAGCAAATTCTCCCGCAAGCCACTGAAATAAATCCAATACAAAATAGAAAAGGCAACAATAAGTAAAATTCAACTGTCAATTCCATCAAAGGAAAGACTATTACCAATAATTCAATTTTGGCTCATAGTTGCAGTTCAACATAGAATTGGAAAACTATAATGTAATATGCAATAATACATAAAATATTATGATAATTTTCAGTACATGCTTGTTTTGATAATTTATAAACCTCAGTCCTCCATTTATATATACCTCTCATACACATGAAAGAGAAGCATAATATTGGTAAGACATAAAATGTAAAGAACATACATAACGAGAATGGGAACAAGGAAAAGTACAATCCATCACTTATTAATAGCTTTTTTTTTTTTTTGTTTAACCAAAGTACATACATGCTTTGTTATATCCTCATGCAAAATTCTAGCTTTTTTTTCAAGCTCCACCTGGCAAATAATTAAAAAAAAAAACACATTAATCAAGGGAAATTATCAGAGGAAATCAATTACGGTAACGAACAGTTAATCAAGAATGAGAAAAGAAGAAAAACTCAAATAACATGTACATAAAAAAAAACATGCCCTTAACTGATTTCTCATCTCTCATTGGAAAAATACTTCTAGGATGACAAACAGCACTACATTTAAAAATGGTTTCTATCAGTGGAAATGAATGCAAGCAAGTAATTGAGCATTAGTTAAAACTCTAATATATCAATATTATAATACCTGCAATCTGAAAAGTTACTAATGTCATGAGAACATTTCAATAAGGTTTCAGTCATGCAAAATGTATACCTCTTCTAAAAAAGAAAGAAAAAGAAAAAAGAAGTGTCCATTGCTCAGTTGATTATTTTCAAAGAAATATAGAACTTATATAAAACTCCAAATATAAATATAACATAGATATTGTTGATACATAATTGACAGCTGAACTCATAAATTATAAGAATGAACCTCCAAGTATAACAACTTGAAAATAAATAAATAAAATATATGTCTCAATGATATTAATAATCATATGTTTAAGGTAATTCTATTTCAGAATTTCATTCAAAAGTAGCAAAATTTTGTCAAAGTCTGAAAGATAGGAATACATATAATATATTGATGGAATAAGGTTATAACACAACTGAGATTCTAGAAAAAAAAAAAAAAATTAGAAACAATGTTTCTGTTTTAAGTACATGTATACAGATACCAGCTACACCACTGTTATCTACTAGGGTAAGGAAAAAAAATTGTGAATGTAACAAGAAGTAAAAACTCAAACTAACAAATTTGACAAGTCATGGAACAAAAGACAAAGCACAAATCAATATCTAATTAGAAAAATGTAAAAGTGTAGGCAGTATCAAAATTACATTCAAGTGGAGATGGGATGATACTATTTATCGGTAAAGTTTCCACATGGTTTGATAAGTATTTAGTTCACATTAAGCATTCACCTCAAAAGTAACACATAAGCATAATATTACACTTCAATGGTTGATGTAATTTTAAATTGGTTATTATTCATTTTTTGATAAGAAACATGAAAAAACTTATTGATGAAGTGAAATTGTTACAAAACGATTAACCAGCAGCCCACCAATAATTGCTGGCAGTAAGAAGTACAACAATTAAGAGAGCTAGAGAGGAAACCTTTATTAAATGGCTATGAAAACAAAAAAGTAACGAAACTTACAACAGTTGGCCTCTTGAGCAAACCATCTTTCACTCTCTGGCGCAGGTCTTCACATTCTTCCTGCACCAAAGACAATAAGCTGAGAAAGATGGAAAGATATATTAACAGTTTGATAATCACACATTCTATTTTCTTTATTTATTGATTTGTCAGACTTGGATCCATGACAACCAATGCCATCTCTTCAACCAAAGGCCTAGGGCAAAGTTACACTACTATACAAGTATATATTTTCCAAGCAAGATAGCCTGTATTCACAATGGCATGAGATCTTCAACCCACAACTTATACAGCAACCTGAACAAACTCTAACTTCTAATTGGTACATATACGCCTATTTTTAAGGATAACAGAAAATCCTAAACTGATTTTAGATTTAAATATGAAAATAAGACCATGGAATGAAACTAAAGCTGAATCATCAAGTAGCCGAGTTTAATGATCAAGAATAGTCATTATTTCCAGTAAGCCCGTTAAAATTTAAAAAAGATAAACAATAAGAAGTAAGTTCTATATCTGAGGTTGGACGTAAGTTCCAAATCCCTACACAACCTACACACAGATTTGGACTGTCTTCAACCAAAGGATAAGGCTTCTACCTCCTTGATCAAGGGGTACTGTTCATCATGCTTTGAATTGACTTGTTATGAAGAGCTGATAAGCATTCAGTAGGTAGTTTTGCAGATGAGATTACAGACTTATCTTCAAGAGACTTTGAAGATGAAATAATATAGCAGGACATGGTAGTTGAAGAGAATGTTGATACATATATGTTTCTTAATCTTTATTTGTCAAGTAATACTCAAGAACCTTAGACATGTCCTTTAGCCTAGAATTTTTTAAAGGTAAACAAAGAAATTGCATAATACTCATCCAACAGTAAAATGAATCAAGTCAAAAAATCCATAAAGAAACTGTTGACTGACACAACATTTTGGCTCAGCATCATGCTGATTATATTAAACTTAGTGTAAAGTAGCTACAGTACCATATGTGCTGATTACCTCAGAGAAGTTCTCATTGGAAAGTGTGGAAATATGAATATCTTTTATATAATTTGATGCCTGGAGAAGAATTTCTGTACTTGTATTATCAGTTCTAGACACCTCTCGCAGACCTAGAAAATTGACAAGGGAAGCATCATATCTGTCAGAATAAACAAAAATGGATAGGATAGTAATAAACATATCAGATACACACTTTTGATATAGCAGACAACAATAAAACCCAGAAAAAGAGTAATTTCAAACAAACTATTACTGATGAGTGCTTCTGCAAATTACCTGTAACTTGCAGAAGCCAATGAGAGTTTTTCTGAAGGTAGTCATTTGGGTCTGATTTGATCCTTATGAAACTTCCAACTATTTTGTGTTTACAAGTTTCCAGATCCTTCAAAAGATCTTGAACCAAACTCCTCTTCAGGTATACAAGCTTTATATTATCTGGAATTATAGCAGCGAAACAGCTTTTGGGAGTTTCCACATGTTTTTTCTTCTTAGGAGTTTTTCTTGTTTTTTGTTTCTCATTCTCGTCCTCTGAACTATCTAAAATCCCATCATCTGATTCGTCATGGTTTTCAGCATAATGTGCCTCCAGCATATCATAAATTTTATTCCGGCTGATTGATTTTCTTCCAAAAAGACAACGAAGCTTCTCATCACAAAGAATCCTTTTCTTCCTTCGTGGGTCAAAGAGGTTATTCTCCTTAACATATTTACTTACGATGTCAGTAACGTCAAACTGAGAGATTTTTTCACAAGTATCTTTACCAATTGATTGAAGAAATTCAATCAATGGTTTTGATCCCCAATCCAAAAACTGCCATTTCTTTGATCTAACTTTCCTTTTCACACTAGTTATACAAGGACTTAGCTGCCCATCATATTCTTCCTCCCAAACAAAAGACTCTGCCACTCTCTCAACCATATTAACACCTTAATATTACTGATATGGCCAGTGGCAACCAAAAGTAGCCTTCCAGCTCAACTGAAGTAACCCAACTACACAATTACCAATGAAGAGAAAAAAAAAAAAAAAAAAACCTTAGAAAAGCCATTAAAAAGGCACTCAATCTCCTTCCAAATTATTAACATCAAGAGATGAACAATAAATTTGAAACATAAAATTTGTTCAACAGACGAATAATAAAGACTTTACTACCACTATCTGAGCCACATTAATGCCTCAAATTTTACTCGCAAATAATGTCAACCGCAAGTATCGCTACAAGAACGAATAAAAACAGTTAAGAACATCAACACACTCAATTATCTCGAAATGATTGATAACTAACTTCTGAACCAAAAAAGAAAGAAAAAAATTGTTCAACGTCTCCCATTTATAGTGACACAGAGAAAAACCCTACCCCATCGCTCTACCTATCAATAAGCAAATCAATTCAACAGCCCACGTACCTTTGCTTCCAAGCGCGCTGAAAGAGAAAATATCCGACAAGCCCGCCGTGAGATTTTGATTTTTTTTTTTTTTTTTTTCAGAATAAAATCGTGACAATTTCAAGTTTGCAATTGAGAAAAATGACGTGAAAATATTTTTGGGTGTGTTTGTTTCCCTATTCCCATCATATCCTACCAAATCTTATCAAAAATTTATTTTAATATTCTCAAAATTCAATCTCATTCTATTCAATTTAAAATATTTAAATTTTTTAATAACTTATATTTATTAATTTAACTAAATACCCATAATAATAAAAGTTTATAAATTAATAAAAACACCCCCATCTACCCAATCACATATTCTTGATAGCCGACCACCACCATCGGAAGGTGGCTAGAATCTATCGAAATTACGCACGGCAAGATGGATGTGGCTGTCGTGAGGCAATCTGACTTTTTTCGACCAAATTCATAGTCGATCTAGTTGGAAAATGCTAGATCGGTGCATGACTGACCATATCCAACCAGTCATGCATCGATCCGACGATTTCCAGCCACCTTCCAGCATTGGTAGCCGACTGCCAGCATTTAATGGGTAGGTGAGGGTGTTTTTGTTAATTTTTAATATTTTATTATAAGGACTGCTTAGATAAATTAACAAATATAGGAGGTATTTTTGTTAATTTTTAAATTATATTCTCATAACAACAACCCAACTCAACTTTTTCAAAAATACTACTCAAAATGCTCTACCATTGATTTTTCCTTCAGTGGAATTCCTGACGTGGCCTAATTAATTTCAACTAAAACAACACAAATGGCTTAAATGTTATAGAATTAGAAGTTTAGGGATACAAAAATAACCAATATTTGGTTTTTAAAATTTAAATTGTTTGGTTTATGAATACCCAAAAACCACGGGACTCTCCAATTTTGCTTTATTCTTTACGCCTGAAACACTACACTCTCTTTCAATGCCATTTCTTCTCTTTTTCTCTGTCCATCACTCCCTTTCTCAAGGTTCCCTCTTCCCTTTCCCCATTCCCTCGTTGGTGCAATATCGGAGATTAACCAAGAAATCCACAAAACCCAGCCACTCTTGAAATAGTAGCCACCGGTGGGTCTTCCAAAAATGGCGGAGAAGAGGTTGCAATGGTACAAGTTTCGACGACTGAAAAGAGCAGAGAGAATACTGCGCCGGTAGAGGAGGAGGAGACGCAAAGCACCCACAAGATACTAAGCCCACCAATGAATGTAGTTAAAGTCGACGACGCCGACAAAAAGTCTAGCCAAGAGGTGGAAGAAGAGGAAGAACATGTACGTATTCATTGATTTTGTTTCTATCAAAAGGGTCTTTAGTGAAATAGAAAACCCAGATGTTTATTCTTGGACAACGAATCGGCTTCGTTTGTTTTAATATTTTTACATTATCCTATTCTTATAATTCTGAAAATACACATTTGTTTCCCTATTATGAAAATCTTATTATATTTTATTCGTTTTAAACCCTTAGGTTTGTTAATTTAACTAAATACCCCCTAAAAAAAGTTTAGAAATTGACAACAACACCCCCACTCACCCACGTTTGAAAGATTCCAGCCACCACTGCCAGAAGGTGGCCGGAATCTGGTATAATGGTGCACTACTGGCTGGATCTAGTCGGTAGTGCGTCGATATAACTTTTTCCCAGAAAAGGTCAGATCTACGACCAAAGATCTGGTAGCTAGTCGTCAACGACGGCCATATCTTTGACCGTCATTCATAACCAAACGCGATCAGATCTAGCCGTAGATCTGACATTTTCCAGTTAGATCTACGGAAAAGGCCATCTCGACGCACGACTGGCCAGATATAGCAGGTCATGCGCTAATACGGCGACTTCAACCACCCTGCGGTGGTGGTGGCCAACTGCCGGTATTTAATGGGTAGAGAGTGTTTTTGTAATTTTTAATGTTTTTATTACATGGGTGTTTAGTAAATTAACAAACCTAAGGGGATATTTTTGTTAATTTTTAAATCCTACCTCGTTATTCCTACTCAACTCTTACTTTTTCAAAAATACTAAAACAAACGAACCCGATGTTGTCAGCTTCTACTAAGATTGGCCATCTTGGTTATGTTTGTGAACTATTTGATAAAATCCTAAGAGAGACTTGGTGGTTTATAACCCAATGATTATTGGGTGTATGGATAATGGTTCTGAAGATATAAGCGTTAGTTTGTTTAAAGAAATGAATACATTGGGCATTGAGCACGATAAGTATAGTTTAGGCATTTGAAAAAAGGCACCAGTATTTAGCCTCAACCACTAATCCCTCCCCTGGTTTCTTTCTCTTCAAAGTTCAAACCCACTCATTCATTTTTATTACCACCCATTTTTTGAGAAAAGATGATTTATTTTATGAGTAATGCTACAGTTACCGAAGGGTGTGCTCCGAATGACGTGACGAAATCCTGACCATTGATTCATTATAAGTTAATATTAATCAACGGTCAAGATTTTGCTACGTCATTCGGTGCACAAATTCGGTATGTAACTTTCGATAACTCTATCATTTTCCTTATTTTATTGGTTTCTAGGAGGTCTCATGTGAATGGATCATATGTGGAACTTTGAAGATCTTGCCTTGATGCTTCGGCATCAACATCAATGTTGTCACAGAAAAAAAACAAAAAGAAATTTCAGATTTAGATTCTTTTCCTAAAGACCAAAAAATGTATTTGTTTTAATATTCTCAAAATCCTATTCTACTTTATGCATCTCACAAAACATTAATAATTATATTTCTCGTAAAGATAATCTAATTTTATTTTTTTCAAAATACTATTCTAAAAATCATCAAATAATAAACCAAATGAAGCTTTTTCATTTCTCCCCCCTGGTGTTTCTTATTAATTGGTGTGGTGCCCATTGGTTTTTGTAAAGTAATGTTTTACTTTACATGGACAAATGAAAAATTAGCCTCTCTATTTTTTCAAATCTATTTCGATTTGTTTATCTCTTTATTCTTCTACAAATTGTCACCACAAAACAGTTTTTCTTTAGTGTATTAACAATCCATATGAGTTTTGTTGATGCTGATTTTCGACACCAACTAATTATCACGTGAGTATTATTGATTGGTGGATTAACACGTGATGATGAATATATAAAGCGAAATAAATGCGGAGAAAGCTTTTAAAGTGGTTCGGATGCTAAGGTAGCAAGTCCTACGTCCACTGATTTGTATTGATATTAGTGTGGGTCAGGTCGCCAAGCGGACTGACTTACAGAGGAATTATGAAAAGTAAGTGTGTTTACAGGAGAGAGAGAGTCTTTATAAAAATGGCCGAATCCCCTTAATGAAGGGGTCTTCCTCATTTTATACCAATCTGAAGCGTGTAATTATCATTAAATCCATGGGTTAGTNAAAGTCTGGCCAGCCCAACGGGGTATATGCAAGTCGGGTTGAACCCGACCCACCTTTTAGGTGGTCTAGGTTGAACCTGACTTGATGCAGGTCGGGTTAGAGTTGACCCGCTTAACCTGACCCATTTGTTCCACCTCTAAATAAGATTAATATATATTTTGTCAAATAAAAAAATTGCTTGGCCTTGTTCTATCAGAGGAGACTCTTAACTTTCTAAGTCAATCAAAGAGGAAATTAAGAAAACATTCATATCATATTTTCTCCAGGTGATTTAACTATTGTTAAAAAATTATAAATAACTAAACAAATTTTCTTCTTTGAACAGATGATTCATATTATTAAAAAATTCTACTGAATTAATTCATTTGACTTACATAACATCTTTGAAGTTTTCAGGAGCATAATTTTTTTTTCTTCATTAAATGATACGTTTGAAGTCAAAGATGACTAACATCATACTAAAAACATTGATTGATTAAACATTTAACTAAATTAGATTTTTCAATTGATAAAAAGATTAAAGCGTTCCATGGACAGCTAGCTGGCCATGTTGCACTTAGTACAATTTTCCTTCATTATGTTTTTAGTAAAACAAACAAACCACTTGAATTTTCTTCTTTTGTTGCCTTGAGTCTTCTCTGATAGCAAGAGGTCAACCAAACTAGGACCAATAAAATAAATTACTTGCAACCGACATACATAACACTTCTCCAAATTCATTGCATGGGGACCCATAAATTGGTTGGTTGAAAAGTAGTAGAAGTTGAGCTATGTTCATATGATATATGTTAATGAGGGATTTATCATATTGTGTCCGCTTAACCGAACTCATTTTAGTTTTGAAGCACATAATTATGATTACTTTAGTCTCTATAAACTTAATATATGTTTAAGTATAAATTAAGATCGGGAGACAATCCCAATTATAAGAAGATAAAAAATAAAGGTCTATGTATATTGTTTTTTCTAGCATAGCATAATCTTTCCCTTTCAAATGCTAGTTTCTTTCTTTCTACAATGAATTGTGTTCTCAAACAAAGTCTTTTATGTCAATCCTCGCATATCAAAATTCATTACTTGTTGTTATTAGGAGATAAGAAAGAAAAAACAGTAAGAAAAGTTTAATAGTTTTACAATAAACCGGTTAGTAAAATCGGTTTCGGTTAACCAGTTTCCATATTCTCCCAAACTGACAACCAAACCAAAAATTCAGTTTTT